AAAGAAACTGCCACAATTTAAATTGACACTTAAACTGATTGCTGAAATTCTGTGTTTGAAAGGCTGACCTGGAAGAAACAAAGTCAGAAAGTTTGCTTTTTAGACAAAGTAATAAAGCTCTATCTATATTATTTCTACCTCCGTACTTTTTCTCAGCAATTGCTAAAAATTTTTTTTAGAAACTAATAAAGCTATTTTTCCATAGAAAACAAGTGAAATGAATATAGAAATTAACTATTTTTTTAAAAAAATACACTAGTAAGTGGGTTCCTAGCCTATTTTAGAAGTGAAAACTCCCTAGTTCAGAACAGCCGGAAGGAAATCTTTTTATCATTTATTCCACACGTGTATACTGAGCACACTCTACACTACACACAAAGTGTGAGATACTACAGCTAATGAAAACTCCAGATCTCATTGTTTTTGAAATAGAGAATATTAATCTGTATTATTGGTGTATATGTTATAGAGGTGTTTTTTGTTTTTTTTTTTTTTTTTAAAAAAAAAAGAGTGGAAGCAGGAAAATATCTTAAATTCATCCACAAACATTCAAATTCTAAGTCAGAGTGGCTGTGAGCAGGAAAACCAGACTTGGCATCATCAACCTGGTGTTTGACATGAAACTAATCCTTTCACTAATGTTCAGGGAAAAGGCACTCACTATAAAATCCTACTTGAAATGATTCTTAATTAATTTTGTCTTCTCTGGCTAACCCGGCATATCATGCTATTCCTCTGTATTTCATATGGAAGCGAGTAACCCAGTTAGTAATCTTTTATATAATATACATATCTATGTATATAGGCTGGTAATCCAAATCAATTTTATTCTTTCTTTCTTTCTCTCTCTCTCTCTTTCTTTCTTTAATTATATTCTCTCTCTCTCTCTCTCTCCTCTCTCTCTCTCTCTCTCTCTCTCTCTCTCTCTCTCTCTCTCGCTTACTTGACAGACGCTCGCTCTGTGGCCCAGGCTGGAGTGCAGTGGGTCACTGCAACCTCTGCCTCCCAGGTTCAAGTGATTTTCCGGCCTCACCCTCCCAAGTAGCTGGGATTACAGTTATGTGCCACCACACCCAGCTACTTTTTGTATTTTTAGTACAGACATGGTTTCACCATGTTGGTCAGGCCAGTCTCAAACTTCTGACTTCATGATCCACCTGCCTCAGCCTCTCAAAGTGCTGGGATTACAGCCGTGAGCTACAGTGCCTGGTCAATTATATTCCATTTCTAACCAAGCAAAAAGAAATCAAGATATACCATTTCATAAGAGAAATAACAATAAACCTTGAATGAAACCTTAATTATGAATCAAAATTTGCTCGAGTTTCTACAGAAAATAATGCCAAAAGAGAAGCTGGAAATCATCTTACAGCCAGGCCCTATTCCCTTAAACAACAATGACTTCAGACACTGATATGAGGTCCTCATTGGAACTTGAAGGGGATCTTTAGTATCTTGAACTTCATCTACAGCAGGAGTATTTATTTAGAAACTACTTTTAAAAATGGTTTCATGTGACCCCTAGAGAACTGTGAAATTTTTGACAATGGTCAGCTTTTCCTTAAGTTTCACTATAAAATCTGGTTGGTAAACTCTCACTTTTGCATGCTATGAAGAAATGCTCTTCAAATGTCAATCTATTAACAAAAATATGAACAATTTAAATAAAATTGTATTTTAAAGGTAATGCTAAATAGGATATATTTATGTTCTCAAGAGATACAGTTGCTTGTTAATTTGTTTCCAATCCTCAATCCAAATACCAGTCTATTTGACTAAAGCTAAATGTATTTTTGTCAGACAATGACAACTAACTTCAGGGCCAGAAATTATTACAAATGAGCATTTTTTTTTAAACCCCAAAGCCAAAAACTCTGAAAGCATGAATTTAATTCTTAGGTTTAATGGACAAAAGGAAGCAAAGAAATCCTTGGGACTCAAGCATTATAGCATGGTTACCAAGAAAGAGCTTGGTGAATTCCTCAAAGCTTTCACCAAAGAGTTATATTAAATTTCCTTTCGGCAACAAATAAATTGGTTTCTTGCTGGTAGACGCTTAGGTCAGTCATCTAAATGAGGGAAACCAGGAATACGTGCCATTTACTGAGAGTCACTTAAGTGTAAACTACATCTCTCCCCTTGGCATGTTTATGCCCTCTCTATAGAAGATTTACACTGGGAATGTGGGTGGTGGTGATCTTGACTCCATGCCACTTAGGGTTTTAAAAAATTATCTAAGGTTTAAAATCTCACCTAAAACTGTGGAAATATCTAGATTTTCTTCACATCTTCTTTGATGATAGAACATTTGGATATGAAATTTGATCATAATGCCCTGAGGAAGAAATGGGGTTCCTGTATCCACCGGGAACAAGACAGACCCATGGTCCTTTCTCACCTGTGACACTGTGATGCTGCATTTCTTGGCCAGCTCCTCTTTGGCTTCTTCACTGGGGTAGGGGTTGCTGAGGTGTGAGTAAAAATATTCATTCAAGATTTCTGTGGCCTGTTTACTGAAGTTACGCCTTTTCCGTCTATGACAAGAGTTAAAAAAAAAAAAAAAAAAAAGAATTTCCGTTACAATCAGCATTAACCTAAGAGGGACAGATTAATTAGGATCATACCAAAAAAGTAGATTTCTCTTTTAAACATCCTTAAGGTCTAATTTTATTTCTGTGATATTTTAAAGGTATATTCTAGACATCCTCCAAGCCATTATCCAACTCATTTTTACATGTAGGATCACTAAGAAAAATACCAGACTATAAAGCACAATTCTTTGAGGACCTAATACTTTAGGTATTCAATGAAGATCCAGTGAGAACAAACAAGGTCTATCAGGGAGGTTACAGGGAAGAGGGCTGGGCAAAGGAAGAGTTCTGAAACAGATATTTCTTGTCTAAAGGTTGGAGCAGCTTGGAGCACAGTCAAAGACAGGGAATGTGAGATGAGTCTGGAAGGATGGGTAGGGGGCAGATTATAGAAGTTCAGTGGACTCTATAAGAATTTTTGGATTTTATGCTGAGTGCAATAGGAAACTATTAAAGGCTTTAAGTTTCAAGTTTTTAAAAGATCCTTCTGACTGCTGAGAATAGTTGAAGGAGGGCATGAAAGGAACTGTAAAGCCCATTTCAGGAGATGATTCCACTGGTCAAACTGAAGATGATAGTAACCTGGCACAGGGTGAGAGTGATAAAAATAAGATTCAAGATTTACTTGAAAGGTAAAAGCAATAGGACCTGATGATGTATTGAATGGGAGGAGTGAGGGAGGGAGATAGAGAAGGAAAGTTAGGGGAAAAAAATACATCGGGAAGGATTTCTAAGTTTTTCTGCTTAAGCAACTGCCTAGACTGAGGATGATTTTCTTCACAGGTAGAGGAGAGAACAAAATATTTTTTGGGGGAGGGGGGCAAAGAAGTGGGTGACAGACTTTCAAAAGATCAAGTATTTATTAACAACATATTTCAAGTAGCAAAAATGTCATTTATATTTGGGTTTTATTATTAAGATTTTAAAGAATTCCAGCCTGAAAATTATCATTTGTCAGAATTCACTTTCAATTAAGTACTCCAGTAACTAAAAAATGCCTTTCCCAGATAATTTTCTTAATACTTTCTTCCAAATAATCTTAATTCTTCTCAATTGTGATATCCCACAGTCAGAAAAGACAGAGTCAGTAGACTGTTGTAAAGGTATGCACTCTATGAGATTTTTCTAGTCAAAATGATGTCACTCACATGGCAGGTTAAGTATATGATCTATATTTCAACATTAAGGGAGAGTCAAGGGAGCATAAAATCTAGGTCTGATCAAAATAACTCAGGTTTTAGTCCTGAAATTTCTTAATTTCAATAATTTTTAGGAGGGTTAAACTATTGTTTTCTGGGGGATGAAGATGAGATTCAAAATCTATTTGGGGATTACAATCAACAGGATTTGATGATGAACTGAATGGGGTAGGGGAAGACAGGGAAGGAGGGGAAGGAAGACAAATACACCAAGAAGAACAGTTAGCATTTTTGCAGGAGTCACGTGTTGCTTGAAAAGCAAGACAAGGTCCCGAGGTGAGAGCACGCTGAGGAGGCATACTTTGATGAGTAGGTACATGGGTAAGGTCTACAGATACGAAAATGTCAAATTCACAGGCATTATCTGACCCACAGACATTATTTGTTGAGACCACATAGTAATTACCTGCTCATAAGAATCTAAGTTTCTGACTTCTTATGAAAAATTGGGATGTCAGCCATACTGAGCCCACGTTCTCAGAAGGCAGCTCTAAGCTAAAGCTGGGTGATAGCTGTCCCCTTAGACATGCACCTGCCTGTTCTAACCTTCACTGTCCCTCCTATATCCCTGATCAAGCCACTCCACTCAATTACACTATATGTAAGCATATCAGTTTGTGACTCCTAGTATAAAACATGGAGCCCAGGAGCAAGGCCCAGAGTAGATGGGAAAGAGATGACACAAGCACGTTTCTTTGGGAAATAGGGATGTGTGAAAGGAGGATCAAAAAGAAATATATCTAGGAAAGCAAAGAGAAGTTTGGCTCACATCAATTTTGCCCAGGGGTAGTTTTCAGCAACCATCAAACACCTCAGAGAACAAACAGAATAGCTCACCAGATATTCTGTCTGTGTCCAAACTCCAGCACTTCTACTGGAAGAGAACAGGGACCTACACAAATTTGTTCTTAAATGTTTTGCACTGCATGCTTCATCTTGTCCAATTATGAAGAAAACATAAGCATGGAAAGCCAGAGTAAGCAAGGAAATGATACATCTGACTGAGCATGTTTGCCTAGAGCAGAGCCCCTTGCCTTCTCAGTGCAGAGGGCTTGCTGGGAGGCACTACAAGAATAGATAGAACCAAAGCTCAGTATTTGCAATCACTTGAAGGCACATGAGAGAACTTGGTCTTATACGTTATTTATTTTTTAGAAAACATCCTGTAGAAAACGCCCATTCAGCATTTCCCCTCAGTTTCACTCCCTTAGGGTTCACCACACTCTAAATGGCTATGCCTGAGGCCAATGTGCAGTGGCACATCAGTCCAGGGCTGTGTCCCATCAGCATCACAATATTACTACCAGCAATCTCTGTGAGAGAAGGGACTCTGCTCCAAGCTCTGCCATTCTCTCATTCTGGCTCTGCTTTCTCTAGGCTGTTAATATACTTTCTCTTCGTGGAAGAAAAATAAATCATTTAGGTGTATACATTATGAAAGCAGTTATGGAAAAAATAAACATACATGTTGACAAGAATGGGAATGTATCAGCAGAAATAAGGATAGCAATTATGTTAGAAAACATTCTATCAGACATATATTTTACTATCTTTGTTACATAATGCTTTTTATTAAAATGCTCAAATTTGGACAAATAATTTAAACATGTTTTTTGCCTTCTGATGTTACCTCTCTAACTCTGATTTGAGCTGTTACAAAGTATTAACTGGAATTATTCATTTATCTGGCCAGTCAATAAATTCCTTTTGGTGGCCTCTAATGTGTCAGTCATTGGCTAGAATTGTGGGGAATGCAAATGTGTAAGTCTTGGCTGTTGCTTTCAATGACATCATGGCTTACTAAGGGAGAGAAGAAATGTTTGTGAAAAACTACAAGAAAAGGGAGTCTACATGAAGTTTCGTCTAAATAGTTGAATAAACATAGTATAAGTGTTCAAGGGAAGGAAGGGCTAGTCCAGTGGGGTGATTAAAGTGGATTTTCTGAAACGGGAGCATTTAGACCAGACCTGGAATGATGAGCAAGATCTCACTAGGCCCGACAAGTACGAGCACTGGTTCCATTCTGGGCTCTGTTCCATATACCTTCACAGATGATGACTCGTTACCAGTAACTAACTTAGACAGTTGGTTTGTTGTGGGAGGCAGGGAAGTAAGTGGTTAGACTCAGGAAAAGAAGGAATTCTAAGCAGTGGAAACAGATAAGTCCATGAGGCATTTCATTTTTGGAAGAAACACAGGAAAGAACAATTTAGTGATATGTAAATAAGAACACTGAAAATGTTCAAACTCTGATCTAATAATTCCATTTCTAAGAATTGATCCTTAGGAAATAATCCTGAAGGCCAAAAAGGTTCAATGCATGAAGATTTTCATTAAATGCTAGTTTCAATAAAAATCTATCTAAAATAGTACCCTCTTCATTTTCTCTCCTCTTGACTTGCTTTATTTTTCTGCATAGCATTTATCACCCTATTACATTTCATTACATTATTGAATAGAGTGTTACAGTATATTCATTCACTTGTTTACTATCTGTTTCCTCAAGGAGAATATAAACTCAATTGGGGCAATTACATTAACCTACCTTGTTTACCACTATATCCGAAGTACCAATAAATATTTGTGGAAAAAAGGAAGAGATTATATGAACATTAATAGTTGGCTGGGCATGGTGACTCATCCCAGCACTTTAGGAGGCAGGGTAGCTTGAGCTCAGGAGTTTGAGACCACCCTGGGTAACGTGGTGAAACCCCATCTCTACAGAAAATACAAAAATTATCCAAGCATGGTAGCACACGCCTCCCAGCTACTCGGGGGGCAGAGGCAGGAAGATCACTTGAGCCTGGGAAGTCAAGGCTGCAGTAAGACATGATAGCATCACTTACTACACTTCAGCCTGGGTGACAGAGTAAGACCTTGTCTCAAAAAAAAAAAAAAAAAAAGAAAAGAAAAATTAATGGAGACAAGTGCTCAAAAATAAGGGAATGCTAAGTACATTATTTATTTTATATCCATTTGGTAACTTCAATTGTTAAAATACTATTTATAATTAGAGGTTATAATTACATGAAAATGTTTATGTATTCATTGTAAATTTTTAAAAAAGCAGACCAAACTATGTATATTGACCCATTACAGAAACATTTCTTTTTAAAAGGCCCCAAACAAACAAAAAGAGAAGAAAATATTCTAAAACATTTATAGTGATTTTTTCTTTAGGTAATAAAAATGAGGTTACCTTTTATTCCTCATCCTTTTTTCCATATATTTTTGAAATTTTCCATAGTGAGCTTGGTATTTTTCAAATAGAAAAAAGATTAATAAAATCCTCACAACAACAAAGAAGTAATGCAGACAGGGACAGGCCCTAAATGTCAGGTTGAGGAGTGTATATGTGAGTATGCATGTAAAAGCATTGGAAAGCTACTGTGGTTTTTAAGCAAAGCAATCAGGCTAGCACAGTAATGTTACAGAAACAGACAAGAGATATGGAGGATGGGCTGGAGAGCAGTAGGACTGGAGTCAGGAAGACTAGTAGGTACTGTGTTAGTCCTTGCACAAAAGGATGGACAGGAACTGTGATGGAAAGAGAGCTAACATGAAAAACACTGAAAAGGAAGCAACAGTGAGTTCTAGTCACTAATTCCATATGCAAGAAGAGAAAACCAAAGATGATATCAAGTTTTGGTTAAGTAGGAAAATGGTGACATAATGTTTTCTTATTTGGCTCTAAGGAAGAGCTCTGGCATGAAGACTGCTCCACACACTTTGTTTTCCAGTCGAGAAGCTATCTTAGTTATTTCCTTTAATATTGTGAGATTTGGATGATAATTATCACCTCTGTCAGATTCCATGGGAAAATAAAATAGAAACTCCTTTCCAAAGCTGCAGATTGATCATAAGCTTAAGCAATGCCTGAGAGGCATCCCTACAGAGGCAGCATATACTAGGACATTGACAATTCTTCTGTTCTGTTACTCAATAGGTCACTACATACAATTTATTACCATATATAATGCATTATCTAAGACCTGTGAAACTTGGGAAAAGCTTCAGATAAAGGAAATATTTCATCCTTACAGGAAAAATGATAGGCTTTCTTTCTTGATTTAAAAATACAGACTTGAGTTTTGTGGTAACTGCTATTAACTGAAACGCCACTTCCTTCTTAGAAGTATCAGTATCTCCAAGTATTTTCCCATAACATGCACAATCAGTGTAACATTAAGAAATTCTTAGAAAATACCCTTTGTGCTGGGCACGGTGGCTCACGCCTGTAATCCCAGCACTTTGGGAGGCCGAGGCAGACAGATCAAGGTCAAGAGTTCAAGACCAGTCTGGCCAACATAGGGAAACCCCATCTCTACTAAAAATACAAAAATAATTAGCTGGCTGTGGTGGTGGGCGCCTGTAGTCCCAGCTCCTTGAAAGTCTGAGGCAGGAGAATTGCCTGAACCTGGGAGGAGGAGGTTGCAGTGAGCAGAGATTGCGCCACCGCACTCCACCCTGGATTACACAGTGAGACTATGCCTCAAGGGAAAAAAAATACCCTTTGTTAAAATAGTTATATGCAGAAAATTATCCTTAAAAAATACCTTTTAGCATCAGAATAGAAAGGCTATATATTCCTAAAGTCATTAGCAGGGATGCTAATCCTATTTATTTCCTGAGACACTAAATTGGCAGCTAACCCACACTACCATTCCCAGACAGGAAAAAGCTTGATAGCACAGGCACCATGAGTTGAATTACCTGTCCATTGTACAAAAGAGCTCATCTGGCCAAATTAAAGAAGAATCTAAGATCTGGCCAGTTTTACAGAAAATAATATACAAGGAGTGAAAGACGCGGGAAAGCCATGCAATAGATTTGTGACTTCACATACCTGGCATCAAGGAACCTTGATCTTAAAATCATAACTGCTTCACAAGTGCTTTGTTTGAGCTGCATCTGAATGGAACTAAATTTTCGATGGATGATGCCCACCATTCTTTCAATCTCTTTGGGGGAAATGGGACGTGTTCTACTCTGTTCTCGGAGAAGGTTCATCACATGTGTAGTGAATTCATTACATGCCTGTAATGGGGGAAAAAAATCACTCCTTTGGAAATGGGTATTTTATATTATCACACCAAGACATTAACTCATCTGAATTTACACCTCATTTGCAATCACCAATAGTATTATACAGTGTGTAAGGTAAAATGAAAACTAAGATACTTGTAAAATGGTAGTAGTAGTTAAAGCAACAAGAATTCTGAAGCCACGCATAGTCAGAAGTGCAAGGGAGACACAGCATTCAACCACTCTTCCCACTCACCCCTGTCCAGTTCCAAAATGAGATTTTCCCATTCGAGGATGCTCAAATTCTCATATTTAAGTAAAAATATATGTTAATTGTTAATACTAAGTACCACCTATTTTCTCTGAGGCTTTACATTTATTTATTCAACAGATGCTTACTGAACAACTACAAAGTTCAAACTCTTGCTAGTGCTGTTAGGAACACAGAAATGAGTAAGATGCAGGCCTGGCCTTTGGTGAGAAAAATACATGAAAAACTAATTCAGTGCAAAGACTAACAGGGAGATATTAATAGGTCCTAAGGAAGGAATATTCTCATCTGCAGGCTTCATGGATTGAGCTTTAAAGAACAGGTAGCATCTTTGAAAGATGGATAAAGATGGAAGTCAGGAGGAATCCCAGGCACTAGAAATAACAGTATGTTGCAAGTTCAGAGACCGGCAAGTAGGAATACAGAGAATATGTAAAGAAGCAAAAGGGATCCAGGTTTGAATTAGCACATAAAGAGCCTTGCATGTTAAGCATTACAATGACCTATTATAATTTAGCTGTAGTGTAGGCCCTTAGTGGATATAAGCCATCTCTGTAAAGCAGCTCAACTCTTCAAGGGACGTCCAACAGAAATAAGGATTAGATTTGGGTCTCAAACTTTTCAGTTAACAATCCTCAGACATTGTCTCTTTTAATACACATACACATACATAATCTGTTTCTCCTAAAATTCAGGGTCTCACTCTGTCACCCAGACTATAGCGCAGTGGTGTGCTGATAGTTCATTGCAGGCTCAAGCTCCTGGGCTCAAGCAATCCTCCCATCTCAGCCTTCCAAGTAGCAGCAACCACAGGCATGTGCCTCCATACCCAGCTAATTTTTAAATCTTTTTTAGAGTCAAGGTCTTGCTATGTTCCTCAGACTAGTCTCAAACTCTTGGCCTAAAGAGATCCTCCCACCTCAGCCTCCTGAGCTGCTAGGATTACAAGTGTGTGCCATTGCATCCAACTTCATCTATATTCTCTTTGATTTATAAATCTGTATAACTGGATGTACACTGAAATCCAGTACTGCCCTGGTAAATAAAGTATCAGTTTACACTCTTGAAGAAAAATAATCTCTTCTGACATTTTTCCTTAAAAATGCAGGATAGGAAATTCTGCATCTTACTGCACGGGTGCCCCTTGAAGAGCGAGCAGACAGAACAATTCATTTATCAATGCGAGACATGTTTTGAAGTTATAATAATGTCCACTTCCCTATAGATATCCTGAACATTGCTCACATTATAGCACATGATGGTTTTTCTAACTGCTCATTAGAGGACTAACCTTTCCTGTACACTGAGTATTTCACTTACTCTAAGCTTTTACAGAGCTTTCCATAAATATTTCTAAGGTTAGGTAAAATGAGTCTTGCTTACATTTCAAGGTTTTTCAAAAAATATGTTTTAAGCCATAGGAAATATTAAATTCCTTGTGAGTGGTGACACTATATTATACTTATGGGATTCTTCAGAGTGTAAAATTTTGCAACATACATATCTAATAAACATCTAGGGATTGGTGGGCTTTTTAATACTATAATTCAAGAGTGAGAGTTATGTTGTTTAATAGCCGTAATTTCATTATCCCTGAACCATAAGAGAAGAATTCTTAATCTGCAGTCAATGGATAGGTTTAGAAGGTCTATAACCTCCTGAAATCCTATAAAGTTGTGTGCATATTATTAATTCTGATGGGAGAATCTGCGAAGTTTTTGTTTTCTTTTCAGAGTCTCAATCTATAATTTTAAAAGGTGAATAATCACTGTCCTAGGGTATGACATAGTAAAACACTAAGCAATGTTGTAGACTAAAACCAGAAGCTGAAGGCAGAAACCAAGACTTAAAAAATAAATTCGAGACCTTCCCCACTATATTATCAATTTATTTTATTTTATTTTATTTTATTTTTTTGAGACAAGAGTTTAGCTCTTGTTACCCAAGCTGGAGTGCAATGGCACAATCTTGGCTTACTGCAACCTCAGCCTCCCAAGTTCAAATGATTCTCCTGCCTCAGCCTCCCAAGTAGCTGGGATTACAGGCATGCGCCACCATGCCTGGCTAATTTTTTTTTTTTTTTTGTATTTTTAGTAGAAATGGGGTTTCACCATGTTGGTCAGGCTGGTCTCAAACTCCTGACCTCAAGTAATCTACCTGCCTCAGACTCCCAAAGTGCTGGGATTACAGGAGTGAGCCACTGAGCCTACCCTATTTATTTATTTTGAGACAGTTTCATTCTGCTGCTCAGGCTGGAGTGCAGTGGTATGATCTTGGTTGGCTGCAACCTGCACATTCTGAGTTCAAGTGATTCTCGTGCCTCAGCCTTCCAAGTGGCTGGGACTGCAGGCATATGCCACTGCGCCTGGCTAATTTTTGTATTTTTTGTAGAGACAAGGTTTTACCATGTTGACCAGGCTGGTCTCGAACTCCTGACCTCAAGTGATTCGCCCTCTTCAGCCTCTCAAAGTGCTGGGATTAGAGGCATGAGCCACCATGCCTGGCTTATACTATCAATTTAAACTATCTTATGCGAAGTTGAAAACAAGTGGTCATCCTACCAATAAATATATGTATATATCTTTTTCTTGAACTTGCCCTAAGGAAATGTTTATATAATTTCCAAGTTATATAATGTGACCAACTCTACCCTTCCATTTTCTCATCAGCAAAACAAAGATAACTGAACTAAAACTGTTCCCAAACTTGGATGAATAATTCTATAGTTCTATAGCTAGTACCATAGAATGTTAACTAATGGCCTCAAATTATAACATGTTTGGGAATTGCTGGGTTAACCAAAATCTTAAAAGATTTTTGTGGGTAAGACTCCTCAATATTTCTATCCCAATATATGTAATAAATCTTCAAGGAGAAATACATATCCAATTTTTTCCCAAATAAATCTGGCCACTAAACTTCTCTCTAGAGTTATACTGTCCAACAGAAATATATTGTGAGCCACATATTAAATTTAAAAAATCTCAGCAACCATCTTAAAAAAAGAATTAGGGGAAATTAGTCAATAATGTTATTTCACTTAACCTAATATATAAAAAACATCTTGGCCTGGGCAACATGGCAAAACCCCATCTCTACCAGAAATATAAAAATTAGCTGGACATGGTGATACGCCTGTGGTCTCAGCTACTTGGGAGGCTGAGATGGGAGGATCGCTTGAGCCCAGGAGGCAGGGGAGGCAGGGGCTGCAGTGAGCTGAGATTGTGCCACTGCATTCAGCCTGGGTGACAGAGTGAGATCCTGTCTCAAAAAAAGAAAGAAAGAACATTTCAACACATAATCAATTTTTTTTAAACTGTTAATGAGGTATTTCATTCTTTTTTTGTACTCTTGGAAATCTAGTGTGTATTTTACAATGACAGTACATCTCAATTCAGACTAGTCAGACTTCAAGTGCTCATTAGCTGCATGTGGCTACTGGCTGCCATATTCGACAGCACAGCTCTATGGCATCTTGTGCACCAATGTGCTAGGAAAAACTCTTTGGGAAATATTATGCAAGGTAATCTTTGATGCATTTTTAAATTTTTCAGCACCATACATTCACACAAACACAATAAAAGCCCATTTGCCTTAGGAATGTCCTTGACGAAGCAATATAAATTATTCACCTTATTACATATCAACCTTTGAGTATGTCTTTAATATTCTGTGTGTCAAAATGAGAAGCACACAGAAAAGTACTTGTATTGCACATTGAAGGATGACTTCCCCGAGAAAAAGCACTTTTATAGCTGTTTAAGTCATGAGTGGAAGTCACTTTTTTCATTGAACACCATTTTTACTTGAAAACAAATTTGATAAATTATGATTATTTGGAGTTCTCTCAAAAATGAAACAAGTTAGCCTTTCATGTAAAGGAAAACAGCTGACAGAATTATACCAATTATGAAATTTGAGTTTTCAAGTGAAAATTAAAATTTTGGAAAACTTGCATCCACCATTGTAAGTTTAACAGTTTACCATAGACTTTCTGATGAGTTCAGAGTTGATATTCATAAATATGATATTTTGATATTATATAATGTGTCAAAATTTGGATGATACGCATAATCCAGTAAACCTGCACTTTCCAAATGATCAATGCATGATGTTACAAAAGCATGTATAGGTAAAAGAGCCATTCAAAGTGAAAACCAGACCAGTGAATCTTAAGGAAACAGAGTACAAAAACTTAAGTGACACAGTTTCAGGTTTCTCATTGTAGCATACCTTTACAAAACTATAACTTGTAAAGTTCTGGTGTAATATCAAAAAAAGAGTATTCACAATTATCTGAAAAGGTTATCAATGTCTTCTCTTTTGCAATGACATAACTGTGTGAGGCCAAATGTTCTTCATATATTTCAGTCATATGACAACCCTTGACTGTTGAAGCAGATATGAGACTCAAGCTGATTTCTATCAAGCCCAAAGTGAGTTTTGCAAAAATGAACAAGTAAGGTCATTCTTCTCACTAAATTTTAAGTTTTGTTTTTTAAAAAAGTTACTCAGGATAACATGTAATGGCTTGTGGTAATTTTTGAATTAATTAGGGCTGGCCATGGTAGCTCATGCCTATAATTCTAGCCCTTTGTAGGGGCAAAGCAGGAGTACTGCTGGAGCCCAGGAGTTCAAGACCAGCCTGGGCAACACAGCAAGATCCCATCTCTATAAAACAAATTTAAAAATTAGCTGGGCATGGTGGTCCCAGCTACTAGGGAGGCTAGGGCAGGAGGAA